CGCTGTGATTCTTAAATACAGGGCTGGTTTTGAAAGAACATCCGTGGAGAAAGATGCCTTTTGTTTCCAGATGGTGTAGTTACGACATCTACCAGCAGGGGCTTAACTCTAACCATGAGTAGTCGTATAACTTGTTCTGCACTGTTTGTGCTACTACCTCCATGAATAACTGTAAGAGGAACTCAGAGCACCAATCAAGTCAGAGTATTTTGTATGGGCATGAAAAAGTGTATCTAATTATTTTTAATGTCACTCTCCTTCCTTAGTTTTTCCACTAATGTTAACGAGCCATTTACTTAAAAAAAAAAATCTTTAAATATCTTAGATTTTTAAAGTGGTAAAAAATAATGATTCATCCTGTTTAATAGCTCATAATCAGACACGACTCTGGCTTGCGGTTCCTGCGCGGACAGAATCAATGTTTAGTGCCCAAAACAGCTCTGAAACCAAACAATAAGCAATCTAACAGCCCACCCTCCTCCCCGGGTTCATTATTACTGCTGTTCCTCGCTCATTTCGCTCTCGCGGCTCCTCTAGAGATGGAGGTATGAAATATCACATTTTCCCAGCATTTCTCCCTGAAGTGGCCCTGGCACGCGTTCACACGGCATACATTTCTGCTTTCATATATTTCCCCCCTCTCACCGCTTTTAAAAAACAAATCCCCTCCCTCCCTCGCTGGGCTTTGATGTGTCTGCCGTGTTACCTGGGTTTGTAGAGCGGTAGAAGTTCTGTCGCATGTCAGTTTCTCTTATCTGTGAACACATGAATTGGGATGTAAAAAAGTGTATATCATGAAAATAGTTTTAATTGTGGGTTGTTGTTGTTTGTAGTTTATATGAACGGCATATGCCAAAACATGTCCAGGTCACGTTTCACCCCAAAATGTAAAGAAAATCTGTATTATTTTCAAAAGCTTGAGAAATCACACAGTGTCTGTAACATCACTAAAGAATCGGGAGCAAAGCTGGTACAGTCAGCCATTTAAGTTTAAGATTTTTTTTCTACCCTAATTTTTAAACAGACACGTCTCACATTGGTCACGCTTTTATTATGATTGCTACACTATTCCCATTTCCTATTATGTGTATGATCTTCATATCAGGGCAGTTTTGAGATTCCCCTGTGAGCAGACACGAAATGTAACAGGCCCATCATTGCACATTAGCAGACATTTTGAATATGGCTCTAAATATGTTTGTGTTGATACTCAAGAGTTAATTATGACGGGCCTAGGGACCGGTTTCGCTCAGGGCTGGCCATATGGATCGGGCATATGCTGCGTATATATAGAAAAGGGTGGCATGTTTAATTGACGCAGTTCCACGCTCCATAAACATCCACAGCGAGGGAGAAAGAGGACAGATCTACAGGGAACTACATCAAACAATCAGCGGAGACTCAAACAAACCGTCTTACTTTAAAGTGTGAAGGCAAACCAAGCGGAAGAGAGCGACTCATCTGTCTCTTTGTTTCACCTGCCCATCACTTTTAGAAAAGCTGTTTGACATGAATAAAAGAGTATATTTTCATATATTATGATATGGAGCACAGTAGTAAAAATCACAAACCTTCTTCGGAGACTATAAACATTAGGAAAGTTCTGAAAGTTTACCAACCAGCTGAGTTGGTTGAACCTTAGTTCTCGTTCTTCAGTTTGTTTAGTTAATCGCTTTGACTTATGTGTTGTGAAGAGAGAGAGAGAGAGAGAGAGAGAGAGAGAGAGCGTATGCAACCTTTCATTGCTGTGGATATGAATAGCTGGTGTTGCAGCCACATTTTGGTTAGCCAATGTCTGGGATCTATTATAGTATCGTGTGCGCACACACACACATCTTTGCGTCTGTTATTTTAGTGCTGCATGTATTTTTATAGGAGTGCATTTTAGAGACAGGTTTAATCCAGGGAATGTGTGCAGCAGAGTTTGCTTGCACTGAAATACAGTATATATGTCTTTCTCCTGAGGACAACAGGGGTTCTCCATGTCTGGGACGCTGGGGGTTTCTTTACAAGTTAAGGGACGGGTTTTTAGAAATATTAGATAACTTTAATATCTCAAATGTTGTTGTTTTTTTGACGATAGTAAGTGCTTAGGTTGCTTAGAATCTCATTATATATATATATATATATATATATATATATATATATATATATATATAGGATCAAATAGAAGATGTAAAATCTGTATGTTTATTATATTATATATGTATGTACATATTTAAATATTTTTAAATATGTACAGTATATACTGTATTGGCTACATTTATATGTATAATATAGCCTATGTGGTGTGTTGTATTTATAATCATAATAATTATTATAATAAATATTTTTAAATCCATCCATCCATCATAATTATTATATATATGAAACATATTCAAATCCATCCATCCATCCATCCATCCATCCATCCATCCATCCATCCATCCATCCATCCATCCATCCATCCATCCATCCATCCATCCATCCATCCATCCATCCATCCATCCATCCATCCATCCATCCATCCATCCATCCATCCATCCATCCATCCATCCATCCATCCATCCATCCATCCATCCATCCATCCATCCATCCATCCATCCATCCATCCATCCATCCATCCATCCATCCATCCATCCATCCATCCATCCATCCATCCATCCATCCATCCATCCATCCATCCATCCATAGTTGATTCTGGAACAACATTCCTGCCCAAAAACATAGTCCCTACCCCACCCTTAAACCTATAACCCTACCCATAACTTATCCATAAAACAAGAGTGAAATGACAGGTGAATAACTGACGCAGAAGCACCTAACCCTGGTTGTAAGCCTAAACTTGACATAAACTATAAACCTGTCCCTCAAATCTGATTAGTTCATTGGAATGTTGTTCCAGGATCAACAAAGATGTCAATCCAGGAACATGTTGTACTCGGTGAAATCACATTCACCGTTAGTACATAATATTTATGATGAAATACAGTATGTTTATAAAGCCAACCAAAGTATGTGGTTTTTGCATAAGTGTGGTTTCAGTTCTTACATTTTTTTAAAAAAAACTTGATGAATCATGGTTTGTTCGTGAAAACATTTGTATGCAGATTGCACACAAAAATCGAGCATGCTCATGGTTAATGAATGAGACCAAATGTCTGGTGCTGTGCTCTTATTCGCCCAGACACCAAAATCTGCAGTCAACAGTCAGATTTCTTAATGTGGACTCAAACATTTCTCATCAAATTCTATCAAAATCAAATGATCTGAGCTGAGCTATTCTCACTGTGTCAGTGTGAGTCCCATTTCTGTCGATTTTATTCCTTAGGAGACAAAGCTAAGGCTTCAGATCTCGGTTAAGTCTTATTAAGATTAACCCATGTGAGCTAGAGTTTCCATCTGGGTTTTTGTGTACTAGTTAATCACATTTACTTTCAAATCAACTGGTATTGACCTCTTGCCCCATAATGCCGCTGTGTGCTTTTGCTGTGTGATTTAACATCGTCCCACTAATGGATAAATTGGAATGGGGGCTTATTCAGTTCCGCACACCCAGTCAGTGCTCCTCCCAGCATACAAATGAACTGGGATGAATGGACACGACACTCTGAGAAAAAAAAAAAAAAAAACACCTTGGCGGTCGTGTCGGGAGAAAGAGTCGCTGTGTGAGGGGTTTGTGCTGAATAAGTCACGGATATACTGGGAAGTCAGGAGGTGTGAACGGGAACCAGTTTGGAGAGTCTGGTCTGACTGTGCACAGCATGCAGAGCTGAAATGAGTTTAAGATGAAGCCCGCTGGTAACAGGCGCACGAGTCCAACGCTGCACATGGGCGGCGGAAAGTTTGGCCAAGATGTGTTCAGTCACAAACTTTCAGAATCTAGATTCCAATCTTTCTGAAGATAACCTGTGGTGTTTGCACATGTCCACCTTCAAATGTCTGTGTTATATATATTCATATATATATAGGCTACATATGTGTATGTATCTGTATATAATTTGATTTTAAAATGATATAAATAATCAATTTTATGTTTATGTACTTCAAATTAAATATTTGTAATATTTGTGTTAGATTATATACATTTTTTTTTTTTTAACTAAATATATATAATATAAAAATGGTGCGTGATGAGTTGTATTTTTAAAATATTTATGTGATTATTTATTTATTGTTTCCATTTTTGTCCAAATATTATTATTGTTAATATAATATATTAGGGCTGTGCAACGATTAATCACATCCAAAATAAAAGTTTGTGCTTACATAATACATGTGTATATAATTTTTTTGTGTATATAAATACACACATATGCATGTACATATTTAAGAAATATTTGCATGTATATACTGTATATGTATATTTATACATAATTTACAATATTAATATTTAATTTTTTCTTAAATAAATGTGTATTTATATATACAAAATAATTATACACAGTACACACACATATATTATGTAAACACAAACTTTTATTTTGGATGGGATTAATCGTTGCACAGCCCTAAAATATACATGTATATGTATATGTTTTTTTTTTATTCATAGCCTAAATCAATTATTTTATCTTTATGCTTAAAATTAAATGTATACATTTTATATATAATTTTTACATTTATGTATATTTATTTATTGTATTGATTTTAAAAATTAAATGTATAAATATGAGTTTTAAAATATTTATGTGATTATTTATTTGTTAGTGTCCAAAAAATTTTAAGTTGAAAAGTTTTAAAGTCTTTAAGTTCCACGAAGGGCTTTTTCTTTTCTCTTTTTTCTTGTTTAAAAAAAACAACAAAAAAAACTATATATGATTTGGGTTTTAAGAACCCAGAAACCACTGATCTGAAGACCTTATAATAGGATAAAGAACTTTATGAACCTCTAAAGAACCACATAGCATCTCAACAACCTTCTAAAATAGTTGGAAAACAGAGTGAAGGGTAAAAAATTGCAACAGTATTGTGATTATAATGCTGATGACTTATATAGTTATGTTATTATTATGTTTCAG